ATAAAATTATAAATTATGCACTGTTATGCAAATAACAATATCTACTGATGAAAGTTATAAAATTGTACTGTGTATTCTTTGTGGTTGGAAAAATGTGGTAACAAAAACTATATAGGTGCTAGACAGATGCGGTCACAAAAGAAAATTATGGTAGGGTAGGAATATTAGGAGAGTAATTGTCAAGTAATTAAAAGAGGAGAAATCAAGAATGGGTATTAGGTAGAATATGTATACGAAAGAAGTTCTGTATTACTCTGATTATAGTTACCTTGAGATTTGTTTTTTTATACGAGTCATTTTGGAGGTATGTTTACTTTTTATCAATGAAAATTTTTTAATTAAAATTTAATACATTTTAATTAATCAAACATATTTTATTATATTTTCCTCTTGCTTTATTTTTTATTTTTTAATTTACTTTTCTACTATATTACACTTTATTATTAAATATAATTATAATTAATACTCTGTTATACTAAAATATAGTTTTTTATAGTTATCTTTCTTTGTATTTTTATCCTAAAAATATTTGATACGCAAAAATGTCATTTGTTTTTATTTGTAAATCGCACATATTTATTTCTTCGATAAATTGTTTCAATAAACTACTCTTAAAAATAATCTCAGATATTTTTAGAAAATGAATACAAAATTAGGTTTCCATTGCATAATTAAAAGCAGATTACATACAATTTACCAATATTTTAATAATGTAGACCTAAATCGAAAAAATTAAGGCTTCCATCGAATAAATAATTATAATAATGCCTAATGCGTTTTGAGGTGATATTTTTCGCAATAAATTTCTTTACGGATTTGGAGAACGGGAATTCTTATAAATGCTTAATTATATTTTATGGCTGAATAATGGAATTATAAAATTCATATAGAATATATACATATTTATTATAAGGCAAGATCCAGCCGTAAGTAACCGTAAAAGGCGCTCTCAAATTTACGTATAATATTCACATACATGGTCTATTTTAAATTATGTTTGCTTTATATTTTATTTGTTTTATTATATTTAAATAATTAATTGGTATTTGCTTTTATTTTATTATGTATACAGGGTGTCCCGTAACGCTTAATTAATATTTGAAGGCGTGAAAGAGAATGAAATTTTGAACTAAAAGTTCCTCTTTCAATTTTGGCTCAGACCATTATTTACAGAGTTATTAACGAATAAAGTTAATCAATCAGATCGTGCTTAGCCGGAGTAGGAGCGTAGCGTGCCATACGTGCGGCTTTTCGCGCTCACTTCATATACATTCTCCTGATTACAATTTTATTCCAATTTTTCATATTAATAAATAAGTAAATGAATAAATCAATAAATAAGCTAAATAAATAAATATTAAAATATATGTGTTACGATTAGCCATCTATAAATCAGTAAAATGATCTTAAATAATAGAAAATTTACCACTCATGTATCGGAAACACAAAAATATAAAAAAACACTGGTATTGTATTATATATTGTTATGTTGTACGTAATATGATAACTTTATTGAAAATAAAAATCGAAGTGTTTTGTAAGCATGACGTTTTATTTTAAAGCTACCTTTCTATATATTACATTATGCTTACAATATTATAATTATATTTACATTTAAAACTGTTTTAAGTATAATTACGAAGCTACATACATACATATTTAAACACTATGAGTTTAACCAATTTTACATGTTATAGCAATATTAATAAAAGCATAAAAAGGTATAATAATAAATAAAATTTATATTGTTTAAATAATTTTAACAATTTTAATATTTATTTACGTAGAGTTTCCTTCTTTGTCTGTGTATTGGAATTTCAAAAAACCAATTTTCGTTAAACTACTGTCAGATAGATTACCTGCAAATTTCATGTTTACAATGTAAATACCGGCCGATGCATTGCCGAAGGTAAGTGTCAAAATATCTGTCATATTGTCATGAATATGTTCCATTGGTTCATAAAATGTTTCGTTGTCATTAATCAAATTAGTCGCTGCTTCATTTATTTCTAACTCTCTCGAGTGTAAGCTTATATTTGACAATGCATGACGAATCTCGATATTGGCATTGGATGCATCGTAAAAATTAAAATTGCCTTCCTCAAGATGCAATGTCAGTTCGATTAAGTAGTAAATCGGTATCGTGTTGTCGGGTAAACAATAATTATTTTCCAAATTATTATCAGTGCAAGACATCATGCTCGTAGCCAATATTAAGCCACCGTTATTTAATAACAACTTAAAAAATTCCATATCAACATTCGATTTATATATCTGTGATTATTATAGAAAGAAATTGATAATGCAATAAAGTTCAAAGTTATTGTATGTTAATATCAATTTTCATATGAAAATAGGAGAAATTTGAAAAAAAAAGTGTCAGCAACTTTTGTTAAGTTCTCGTAAACTTTTTTCTTTTTTTAAAAAGAGTTTTTAAGTATAATTCGTACTTATTTATAAAGCATTTGTATAATACAAAGTCATAATTTTAATAATGTGTTATTCAAATATTTATGTTAATAATTGCAAATTTATGTCAATATCGATAACATTAACTTTCTGCAATTACTTCCGGGCTCTCTGGGCCTTTTGATGGTCACGAAAATTTTTCCAGAATTAACGGTCTTTAACAGTATCTTGTCGGTGATGATACCAAAAATAATTAAAAATATTTAAAAAATGATTAATTATCTTATAATTAAGTAAAATATATCACATATGTCCAAGAAGAAGGCTAATTAAAAAAATGTTAATTTATGTTATATCTGTGAAACAAAATGAGTATTTTTAGTACATACAAGATTTTTAAGTTTTTAATTAGAAAATATTATAAATGCAATGATAGACTTTTGAAATAATCAATTTATTTATAATATTATAAAAACATCTTGCTTTATTATTCTACAACACAATGTGTTCATGCGTTATCAGATTCTTCCCATTCAATATTATTTTGTGTTCCTACAGTAGAAAAAATCTGTTATTTTTTAAACAATATTTTGAAAAAATTAATTGTATTATTTGATCAAATTAAACTGTATTCCTTGCCTGGTGTTTTATGTTTTAAATATGTAATGTGAAGTAGAAAATACATTAGCGCACAAAATGCTGCACATATTGAATATATTTGTAGAGTCAACGCACCACCATATTTTTTTAACAAGGTACTTCCCACCAAATTACCGACAGCAAAACCTACAAATATTGTAACATTTTATATCAATAATAAATATTTACTTAAATAATTACAAAGAAAAATATAAATGTATAAATATACTTTTATACAATTACTTGTGTAATATCTTTGTTACAATTTTTAATGTAAAACAAAATAAGGAGAAATTTACCAAAACCCTCTTTCATTCCTGACAAAATTCCTTGAGCAGAACCAGATAAATTTGGTGATGAATTTGCATTAGCGAATGCTACTGTTGTTACGAAGGAAAGTGTATATGATGGTCCTACCATAATAAATTCTATTGGAACTATCCACCATGGTGTTGGTGCTACAGATATTAATCCTAGTCGTAGTGCATAAAATATGAAAGAGAGAATAAAAGTGTAATCATATCCTAATTTATTCAATATTTTACCTAAAAAAAAAAAAATTAATATTTTAAATTATTCAATTTATGAAACAAATTATAATAAGATAGTATTTAACAGTACCAGACACAGGAAAGAATATTATGCAAGCAAAAGCTTCCGCAGCTACTGTTAAACCTTCTATTAATTTTATTTTACTCATATAATCGGTTTTTATAGCAAGATCTTCTTCAAACCTAGTTAAAAAAAGTCAATTGAATATCATAAAAATTAATTTTGTGTAAATTTTCACGTTTTAATTTTTATGTGTTAATTTCAAATAACAAATAAACAAAAATCTCTCAATAGTCATATAAATTTACCACAATAAAAAGAAAATTATGTAGCCATCAAGAGCACCAACAAAGGTAGCAAAACACAAAAATGTAACTACAGATTTATGCTTTAAAAGTGCATATACATCTACAAATATGTTTGTAGATCTTGATATACGTGGCAACTGTAATAAAAATAAAAAATTAAAAATTAAAAAACTGTTATTAGTTTGGTTTTCTTTTTTATTTGTTTTTCTTTAATGTATTTATATTCACCTTTAATTTGCTGCAGCAGATCAAATCGATACAAGTAAATACAAACACAAAAAGAAATGCTGGTGTATAAGTTTTGTACGTTTTCCCTTGAGACCATACATCCACTGTATAGCCAATTAAAAATCCGGCTGAACCGTAACTGATTTCACCCCATAGACGCTGTCTACCATATTTCATTTCTTCACCTTTACCTAAACAAATAAACAGATTTATTGTGAAATTCATACAC